TACTATTGATGGCCTTTGTTTCGTTAAGTTAACCCCTTTGTTTTGCTTTTAGAAATAACCACAAGTAAATCCTTTTTTTTCTTATTATAGTTTCGGTCACACGAGAAAGAAAAATCCTTTCTAAGTTGTCAACTTTTTAACCAAACTTTTTTCCGAAAATTGGATTAAATTGTTTAATACCAATTATAGGTATTACTCAGAATCGTTTCAATTACATCGCGTTCAAAATTTAATAAATTTTTTTTACCAAAACATTGCTTACCGTGAAGTCCAATTTTTTTAAAAATAAAATATACATGTATTTTATTATTTCGATTTATTCTTTTACCGGTTTAATTTACTATTTGAGTACATTCAGTAAAAACTGACAGTAGTCAATTCCCTGTAGAAACGCTATACCGATGACCGATTTCAATTTAACGGCAAACAGCCGTCAGACCACCTTGTCAAAAACGCGTGAAGCGTTCTATAATAATAACCATCGTTTAAGACATAATTCCTAAAACCCACCATTTTTATGTAGAATGCCCGAAGCCTTACAAAAAAAACTATTATATTCGTTTGATACGTTTTTTATCATAATAATTGGTTTTCAATTGGAATAGCCATCCGCATTTTATTAAACTCTATTAAGCATTATAAAAAGAAAAACGTCGTCCCGCAAGTGGAAATAACTACGCTCTGAGTGAATGAAATTATTTCTGTAGTCTCATAGGCTATTTAACAATATTATGATTATCGTCAAGGACGTTGAGTTTATTACGCTTTCGTGTATTAGACGAGCCCGTCTACTTAAATTTAATTATTTTTCCCGTCTAATAAACATTTCCGCACATTTATATTGTCTCAATAAAATTATAACGTATGCAGAAGATGTCTAAGATAATGTCAAGATCTCCATTCACCAACACCCAGACGGAAATCCACACGTAGACTATGCGAAACAATTGTTTTGCAAAATTCCACACACACTTAATAACCATAAGTAGAGGATACGACATTTTTACCCGTAGTGTCGTAATAGTTGTGCTTTTCAGAAGGGAGTATTTTTAATATCATGTACGTTTTCGTTGTAAATTACTGGAGAATTATTAGTGTACAGTACAAAAAGTGTTGTTTCGTATGTCAGACTTTTAACGGTCACAGGAAATTGTGTGGAAACAAAAGACCATCGGCTATCACGTTCGAATAAATGAGGTGTAATAATAAAGTAATGATGTCTGCGTGTGAGTTACAGGAAGAGAGAATCTCGGCCCCGTATTTTTAATTGAAATTCGAAAAAAAAACGCGTGGCGGCGTTCCAGTAGAAATTGAAACACACTCTAAATTCAATCGACGTCCATCTTAAATAAGTTTGCGACAAGAAACATCGAACGCTACTACCCTTACTTGTCACTGTTTTCTAGGTAATACGTTGGGAATCTATTATTAAAGGGACGAAAAGAGAAAAGCAGATTGAACGAGGCACATTTTCGATATGACCGGGTTTTTATTTCCACCCCTTCACATTGTACGTCGTCCGAATTAGATTACCTTTATATCGAACAACACGCCTTTTTGAATTAATAATATGTGTGTTTATATTTCATAATATACATTTACATAATTGGCTCAAGTCGCATAGTATATTCGTTTCTAATTAGAACAATATTCGATTTTGCATAATAGGGGCGCACTCAAAATCAATATCCTTTCGATCGTTATCTCCCGCATGCTAGAGTTTTTTACATTTATTTTTATTCCGACGTGTCCATTTTCATTATCAAACAACGTGTTTTCAACACATAATCTTTTCTCACGACAATAGCTCAATGAGTGTGATTCACTTTTCATATACTTCATACACTCGGTCGAGTATATGAACAGAAAATAATAAAGCGATAAGGCGATTATAACGTTGTACAGACCCGATGATTTTTCTCAGTAACGAGAAATCATTACTTGTTCAATTATTTAGAATCTAATTACAAAATATTATTTTTTATTGACCACAAAAAAGTGAACTTTACAATAAACATATTTTCGAAGGAAATCATGTAAGTCTAATCTCGATCCCTAGCCCTGGTAGAACGATCGTCCTAATCTTCAGTTGTTCAGTGCAACTGTATTAGTAAAGTTTAGTGACCCGCCATTCTAAATTCGCTTTAGTTTTTTACTGTGTGAGCGCGATGCAACATAATTGTGTTTGTAGTAATCGTGTCGCACTAAAACGTTAGTCGTTAATCACAAGCAATTCTTTAGATCGGCGCAAAGACAGATAGAGGGGGTTGCTTTCTGTAGTCATTCATCAAAAGAACTTTGTTCGTTACAACACTGACAATAGGAAGAGAAGCGAGCACAATTAACACAATAAGTAAAAAGAAAAACTCAAAGAAAGAGACACACAGGCAACAACAACAACAAAAATTACTGTGTTACCATAATAACACGTTGGCTAAACAAGACAAATTGTCTTCTTCCTTATGTCTCGCGCGCGCTCGTAGGTCGCAGCGAAATGCACTATCTTAGGATCGGCAGACTTCCTGTCTTTGGGTAATCACTTAATGGGGATGTGTTATTCGGCAGCGGATACGACAATGAAACATTACCAGGCTCGGTATTAATTCGACTGCTCGCCGGGAGGATTATATGAGAACGAAAGCCATAAAATTAGTTACTCTAATGACAGTATTGTGTTCATTTAGTGTGGTAAATACTATGTAAAATTCAAGGAGGCCACACTGTTATTTTTCTTTTAACAAAGATAAAATTAGCTCTGCGTCCATATCTGAGTAGAATTTAAATTAAAAGAACTGTGCACGTCCACAAGTCTTTTATATAATAATTACTGTAAGCACTTAATGTAAAAAGTTTTCAATGACAAAACAAGTTCTCGATTGAAATCTGTGCACCGAAACCGTTTAATCGATTCCATCAAGCGACCGTGTATTTCAGTACGGCTCAATCTTTAAATAAATGTAACTGTAGTTTTGTTTTTATTAAGCTGTAGATTATCATAAGCTTCTTAATAAAAATTATTTAACACACACTAGAATATAATAATTTGGAGTTTTAACCAAACGAAAAGAATATAATGGTTAAAAGTATTTTGGGTGTCACATTAACCCTGAGATGGATGCGTATATCTTTTTTACTTTTCGTTAACCCAACACCAACAACCGCTGAACTGTCATCACACATATCGTGTAATGGGTCATTTGAACCAACAGCATTAGCATAAAACGTACAACTCTGCTGCTTCTATCGCCTTATGCTTTCAGTCGAATATAAAAAACCATGCATTTTTACGTTTATATATATTTTCGTCTACTATTTATTGTGACTCTATAGTAATAATAAAATATAAACGCCCACTGTGTGCATTGTATGAGAAAAACTGTCTTTTGTCATCCGGCTATAGGAGGTCAAACGCGCACCAGCATTATTATAGTCAGGGGCCGTTTTCAGTTTGTACAGCAAAGCTGTTATTATATTGTTTCTTTCCTTTTTATTTTTTTTATAAATAATCCATGTGGGTATATTATTATATAGGAAGTGTACAACGAAGCCGCAACTGGATTTGCAAAGCTCCTTCCGTTCTCGTCAGTATTGACTGACTACTGGATTGAAGACTGACGTTGATTTATTAACAGGAGTTACAATTAAGAGGGTTGGAGAGGTAGAGTAACAAGGCACCGCTGTATTTGATCTGATAAATTATTGGCAATAACCGGAACGGGTTTTTTTCTTCTAGAGCTTTGTCAAAACCGCGTCCTGGTGTATTTTTTCGTTCTCGACATACTTTTCTTTTCTCTACATTAAAGTAATTTGATTTATACGAGTAGACAATAACATTCACGTTTACATGTAAACTATTTAACTAGATTCGAAGAAAGCTTAGAATTCGTTTTGATGGATTCCACACGAAGGCTCGACACGCGGTGTAGACAGTTGTCATTCGTTTGGTTTAACTTTTTTTTTTTAAAGGCGTTGTCGTTTTGGTAGCCAGTTTCGATTAATCTTCGACATCATCAATCAAAATCTATTGTTATTTACTTTTACACCTCGTGCAAAGCTCTTATTGCTGGATCGAATTCATTACCTGTGTTTGTACACCGCGTACGGACTACAGGGGTAATCGAGTTCCCTTAGCCATTGTCGTCGTCGGCGGGTGTTGTGTATATATTTTTTTCATTAATCACTTTCCAGACAATACAAATTCCATTACCCGTTCTCGATCCTAATATAGTACGGCCGATAAGTCGTAGACTTGAGTATCGTCGAGCAGCAGGTGCGTTGCTGGACTCGAGCGGTCTTCCTAACAAATATACACACACGCGGTTGGGGTTGTGTATTATTTTATTTACATGTACATATTATTATTATTATGATATAGACGTACACAGCAGGACCACAGTAATAATTTTCACAGGCTTTCCAATTTTATACGCCCCCGTAGGAAATATATTTTGTACACGGTGTACTGGAGCACTCATTTGGTCTGTTATAAATGCTTTTCGTTTACACTCAATGTTTGCACAAGCTTAATGGGAGAGAAAACGGTCGTTTTTGTTTTGTTTGGTGTGGTTGAATTCGAAGCTGTGTTCGCGGTAGTTTGGAGATTGGCACCTCTCACACTCTTCTGTTGATTGATCATCTCGCATGGAATACGCGTGAGGGTCAGATCGTCATATGTCCTCTATATTTGTATAATCCGTCTGACTAACTAAACAAACAGTGTGTACGTTACGCTCACACAAATGGAGCGAACGAGTAAAAAAATAAAATATATGTATTTAATATAAGAAGAAAAAACACAGGGGCTGTTAATGTGTTTTTCGAGTGCGTTGTATGCACGTATATCGAATTTCAAATATTCTCTTTTGAACCGTAACAAAGTAAATGCCCGCAGAATTTTAATAACTCTGCAGGCTGCTGACCCTTGTTATACTCAACATACATAACCCTTGAGAACTATTTAGTAAAATGAAACTCATTTTTGTATTTTGTTTTGTTTGCAGACCTGAAAAAGCCATTCACTTCCGTACCGTATTCGGTGAGCGTGGAAACCGACAGGAACGTGGAACTCCGGTGTTTGCCGCCGGACGGTGTGCCTCCGCCGAGAGTGTATTGGCTACGAAACGGCGTGCAAATCGAACCTGACAACAACATGATAATATCCAGCGAAGGAAATCTCTTGATAGGTCAGGCCAGACTGCAAGACACTGCCAATTACACATGTGTGGCCGAAAACGTGGCGGCCAAGAGACTCAGCGATCCTGCGTTGTTAACCGTCTACGGTAAGTTTTTAATGTCATTGACGGCACCATAGTGCAAAATAACATTGTCAAGTCCCGATGTCGTAAAGGGTTGTGATCAATTGTGAGAACTCTATAAAATATACCAGGGGCGTTTAAAAAAAAAAACATCTTACACCACCTGGTGTCGAGTTCGTACGGTCCGTACACTCTTACGGCCTCAATATTCTCCGTGGAGGAGTATATGCTTACCGAAGTACTTAGCTCGTTACACCAGAGCATAAAAATCGCGTACACAGTTTATAGCCTGTTGCCTTTGTTTGTGTGCGAGAGTCTGCGATCGTTTTTATTCTTTGCTTCTCCGTACTCCCTGCAGTTCATTGCAGGGACTTGTAGAAGCTACGACATCCTGGCCACACAACCAGCCGAAAACGATAAAAAAAAAAAATAAAGAAACAGTGACGTTATTATGCGCTTATATACCATAACAGTAAATTTCACCGAAGTCATAGGTCGTTAGTATATGTGTGTGTTCATTCGTTCACAAGTAGCCCTTCAGTTTTATGCAAATGCGCACCCTGACAATAACACGGTGTGCTCTGTGTAATAAATTCACATCCGCGACCAACATACTCTGAACTTTATGATGGATCCCAATGTGTACGTGTTCCTCCCCAAGTTCCCGCTTAAAACTTAAACCCGATATTTCCTCAGTCGAATAGTTTTTTGTTTATCGCATGGAAAATGCAATTTTGGTAGTAAAATATTTCAGATTTTTCATACATTCCTTCTCTTTTACGTAAAAATATTCGTAAAATATGGGCAAATAAAAACAGACAGTGATCAATATACTCTAAGAGAAACCACTTCAACAAACAACGCAGTAGACTCATCTAATACAGCAAGATTAAAATACAGTTTGGAAAAAACACCCGTTGGTGGCTGATTTATTTGGCAGGTACTAGTTACACGATACTTACCTTACCACATATGCAGTAAAAATATCTTTCACGCAGTATTTTGCCAATTTCAGTACTTAGCTAATGCATTTGTTTGATTTTTTCATTATCATACAGTGTAGTAACAATCGCAATAATTTATGAAATTCAAATGTTGATGTACTCAGTAATCGTGTTTTATAGGACGGAATTTATATTTTTATCATTTAATCGATATTAAGTAATTTTATGTAATGTGAAAACAGCCGTAAATTTTTATGTTCTTCACTTCAAATCATTAAACAAAACAAACATAAAACCATTACGAGATGGTTGTGTGTAGCGGAGACTCTAAAAACGTATAAAATATTTATTTATTATAATATTTAAATAACTTTATGGTGATGCATTTTTAAAAATATTCCAAACAATGTAGCTTCCTCAGACACCATTGACTCTGTAAATTCATCGACTACTGAATGTGGTCTATACAATTCCGAGTTGCAAAATATCTAACTCTAATTAAACTTAATATAATTTATTTATCAAAAATTTTATTTTTAGAATTTAATAAATTTATGTGAAATAAAATATATTTTAGATGTTTCAGAATTGACGAATTAAATCGATAAAAATCATTTCATTATTAAGTAAATTGTAATGATGAAATGCCATTATTCTGAAATTCTAAAATAATTTTCAACGATATTTTCTATTTAATTGGATTAAATTTGTTTTGAGAAAATACAAAACGATCCACACTTGCAAACAGTTTAATGCTATATACTTTGTTAAATAAATCGCCTTAGAGTAGAACTTTCACCAACAATACCGATGGACCATTTGTATTCAAACGTTTTGCCAACTCGTATTTTATGTTTTCTCTCCCTGATACTTCTCCTTGCACGACTACTGTCTACTCGACGACCATGAATTTAGGTAGGGAGAACAAAGTCGTTTTGTAGAAAAAACGACTCTATTACCGCGTCTGGTTACCGTGGGCTCTGAGGTGTGCTACGGATTTCATTAACTCGGTGTCGAACATAAATATTCATCAGAAATTAATGAAATAGAATGATAAAAACAAATGGAATTGGTCTAAAAGGCGGTAGCTAACCATTTTTTTCTCCATCTCGAGCTCAGGCGCCTCGACACGCACTATTACTTTAGTCACTGGGTTCGGTAATAAAACCTACAGACGAGCGTTGCATACATTTAACCCCAATTCACTATAAATTTCCTTTTTGATATTGAAGAGAGTGACTTATGAATATTCCTTACTGAAATGGTTATTTGTCATTGGCGGCGCTGCGGACGTTCGATTCTCTCATCAAGTTCGACTTAAGGGATTTAGAAACCCCATATCGTCTGGCACGGACATAAGCGTTTCATCAAACATCGTCACATTGTTCTACATGAAATGTTTGTGCCCGATTATTTATCTCTGTCCCCTGCACGGCTTCCAATATAGACAGCTTTCAATATGAATGTCAACCCTTCCGTTATACCGCCGTCGTTTTGGCCGATCACAAACACCTCCACTCATAAGTTTTTCAATCAAAATGCCGACGTGAACGTATTAGGTACGTCTAAACGTTATTTTTTACCCGATATCTATGTGATTGATCGATTGTTTTGCATAATCTAACGGATTGTGTGTACCTGCATGTTTTTTGGAAAATGACCGCAATCCCCGACTAAATAATATCCTTCAGTGGACCGTAAAATGTTTTTTCAACGTGACTCGATCCATCAACTTTATAAAAGTTCGTATACATATATATTTCATTTTTAGCACAAAAACGACGCACGCATGATGTACGTGTATACAAAAAAAACATCAAAAACATAATAAAAAGTTCCTTGATTAAAATATCTCTTTACATTGGTAAATTTTTTTTTTTCGTTTATTTAATCTAGATAATACTATAGTTTGACGTCTTCAGTAATGAATGAAGTATTATTTTTTTATTTTTTTTAAAAGCATCCCAATGAAACGTTTGAAAATTAGAAACTTCCATTACTAAGCCAATCTGCGTAATGGACATAGTGCACCGTTTACCGTTTTTAATCTTTGACCTTTTCTTAAAACAACTTCAAGTTAACGTCAAATTAGGATGTTTTCGGCTGAATTCTGAATGCAGCATCGCCCATAGCTTTATACGTACAATAATAGATCTGTAAAAGGTTCTTCCATTACAACTTTGTGCCCGATGCCGACTTCTAAAAGACCGTTCCAGGATTGACGTGTTAATTACATTTATGTTTTAACCTCATTAGGCACCCAGACTTATTGTCCGTATAAACTCTTAAGTGCTTTAATAACTGTGTTTAATAACTATAAACTATACGATATTGTTATATTTCGATTAAAGGACAAGACAAAACCAGTTCATAAGCGTAGGACGGCGGATATCATCCATCCTTCGTTATCTCCATCCTCATGCTTGCGTGGAAAAATATGATTCGCTCCGGACAAAACACAGCAACCCGTGTAGTCGAGTGGTTATTGAAAACTTTACAACAGTTTTCGAAAGCATCTGTAATTGCCCTACTAATAATATGTCCAAGTGATGAAGAAAATACTGTAGCGATTTGAAAGCGCAAGATGCTACGTGCAGACTTAAAAAGCTACGGAAATCGCATTCTGAGTTTTATATTTTTAACTTGGTTTTGTCGAGAGTGTGTATATTGAAACAAGACTTATAAACGACACGATACTCTATACAGACATACAAAATTTAATATTGCCAGTCGTCTATATTTTGTTTAGAGAACTTGGGGAAAAACTTGTTTACAAGACGTTAACTTTTGTACGTACACTTCATACACCGTAACTGACTGCCATCTCACACGTTATACGGCTAGTTGTTTTCATGTCACGCCCGTCATGTCATCGCTCTGCAACAGTTCGCGACGCGTGTAGGTTATTATAACGACCGTACTTTGTATAAACAAGACCGCTGCTGAGTATTATCACAAATCCATTGCGTACGACAGCCGTGCACCGAGGAGCATTCGCACGTGTGTTAAGGTGTAAAAATAAAACTGTAATAATAACCGACGCGGCCGATATCGGTTTACTCGGTGTTTCCAGTTATTTTTTAAGACCCTGAGCCCCGTTGTGTTTTTTATGTGCATTTTCACTCAAGACAAGAATATTCGCTAATTCTCGAGTCGCTGTAACGATGCATTTCACCTCCGTGTAAACAAACGAGAGGCTGCAAATGACTTTTACGGGTGCCAACAAATAACTAGCCGGTTTTTACTATTATTATTTTACAATTATGAATTATTGTTTGTGTACGCCCGCATCTCGCCACGGGCACGTACCACTATGTGTATAAGTGCATCTGTGATGTAAGCAAGTTCGCGCCGGCATGTGTGACTTTTGCCGTAATTGAAAATCTTTGGATTTATTATTATTTTGTTTGGCGCGACACCGGCCGACCGCTTTTGTTCGGCTCGACCTTACCGCTAGTTTACGACCGTCGCACAATCATATTATTAAAGTACAATCCTCGCGGACACGGGCGGCCCAAACGAAGAGTGCAAACGCCAATAAGTGCTTGTAAACAACGTCCGTTAGGGAAATCGATAATGTCATTACTTCGGATGGTCGACAAACGTATAGAAATGTTTTAATGACACGTTTTCCAATCTAGTATCAAGTCAATAAATACCTAGCTCTAAAATAATTTTCATTATTTGAGGTATTTTGGACATGGACTGAAATAAAAATATCGGCCCGTTAATTTCTGCCAGCTTATCGTAGTAATTTGACGTTAATCAAATAATCGCATGCTACTGCTCAGATTACAAAACAGTAAAACTTGTGTATAACATGACATTATATTTTTTCACATTATCGCTGTATTATTACATTAATGCGTTTCGCTTGTATTACCGTGCACGTAATTGACGGTTTACCGTTTTAGTTACTTTTTTGTAATTAAATTTAAATTTTAGCCTCAGTTGAATGGTGTACTAAATAAATGATCAAATAGATGCTGGGTAAGCAATTTTTAAATTTAATATAACACTAGTGACGATTTAGTATGATTTGATATGCAAAAAATCACCGCTCCTAATTGGAAGTGTATA